ATGGTAAATCGGTTGTGAATCTTCATCGACTGAGATGGTTGGGACACGTGTTACGTATGCCTGAACACCGATTACCAAGACGGGCTATGCTGACTAGTATTGGGGATGGTTGGAAGAGAGTTAGGGGCGGCCAAACCAAAACATGGCATCAGTGTTTGAAGTCACTAACTTCTAGTCTGAGCCATGTTGGCAGATGCAGACTACCTGGTTGGGGTCCGCGTGACTATCGTAACCAATTGTTGGAGACTCTATGTGACATGGCTCAGAATCGATCACAATGGCGTAGGTGTATACACTCTTTATCTTCCCTTAAACCTTAAGATTAAAATTGCTTCATAACTTTCTTCCTTCCTGTACTATATCCTTATATACAACCTATGTTTTATATACTACCACCACCACCACTAAATTAACTACTATGAATCCGGTGTTGATCTTGTTGTGCTAACGAGGTATGGCAACTTGGACCGATGCATATATGTGCCTGGTCCTACGTTGTAGCTGACTGACTGACTGACCATATGGTTTAGAGTATTTTACACATTTATTATCGTCTTTATGCCATTTAACAACTTATCTAGACAGTTTTAGGTAGTTTGGATGATATTTATTTACTTACTTACTTACTTACGCCTGTTACCCCTCGTCGAGGAGCATAGGCCGCTCACCAGCATTCTCCATCCAACTCTGTCCTGAGCCTTCCTTTCCAGTTCTTTCCAGTTGCTATTCATCCTTTTCATATCGGCTTCTATTTCCCGGCGTAGTGTGTTCTTTGGCCTTCCTCTTTTCCGCTTCCCTTCCGGATTCCAAGTTAGGGATTGAGTCGTGATGCACATTGGTGATTTCCTCAATGTATGTCCGATCCACTTCCAACGTCTTTTCCTTATTTCCTCTTCAGCTGGAAGCTGGTTTGTCCTCTCCCATAAAACGCTGTTGCTGATGGTATCCGGCCAATGGATGTTGAGTATTTTGCGTAGACAACTGTTTATAAATACTTGTACCTTCCTGATGATGGCCGTAGTAGTTCTCCACGTTTCAGCTCCATACAGTAGGACTGTCTTGACGTTCGTATTAAAGATTCTGACCTTGAAATTGGTTGAGAGTTGTTTTGAGTTCCATATGTTCTGCAATTGTAGAAATGCTGCCCTTGCTTTTCCAATCCTTGCCTTTACATCTGCATCCGATCCTCCTTGTTTATCAACGATGCTCCCCAGGTACTTGAATGTTTCCACCTCTTCCAGAGTTTCGCCATCAAGTGTGATTGGGTTGGTGTTCTCCGTGTTGCATTTGAGAATCTTGCTTTTTCCTTTGTGAATGTTTAGACCTATCGATGCGGAGGCTGCTGCTACATTTGCTGTCTTCATCTGCATTTGGTCGTGTGTATGAGAGAGGAGGGCTAGGTCATCTGCGAAGTCCAAATCATCTAATTGATTCTGAGAAGTCCATTGTATTCCGTATTTCCCCTCAAATGTCGAATTCTTCATAATCCAGTCAATCACTAGAAGGAAGAGAAATGGGGAGAGTAGACAGCCTTGTCTGACTCCGGTCCTTACTGGAAATGCATCTGTCAGCTGTCCTCCATGCACCACTTTGCACTGTAATCCATCGTATGAGTTTTGGATAATGTTGACGATCTTCTGAGGAACTCCATAGTGTCGAAGAAGTTTCCATAATGTTCTCCTATCCACGCTGTCAAACGCCTTCTCATAGTCGATGAAGTTGACGTATAGTGATGAGTTCCACTCAACTGATTGTTCAACGATGATCCGTAGTGTCGCAATCTGGTCTGTGCACGACCGATCCTTACGGAATCCAGCCTGATGATCCCTAAGTTCGGCGTCTACTGCGTCTTTCATCCGATTCAGCAGCACTCTGTTGAAAACTTTTCCTGGTACTGATAACAAACTGATGCCTCTGTAGTTCTCACATTGGCTCAGATCTCCTTTCTTTGGTATCTTGATGAGATATCCTTCTTTCCAGTCCGTTGGCACTTGTTCCTCTTCCCAAATCTTTTTGAATAGAAGGTGAAGCATGTTTGCAGTTATTTCAATGTCTGACTTCAGTGCTTCTGCTGGTATATTGTCAGGTTCTGCCGCCTTCCCACTTTTGATTTGTCTGATGGCCATCTTGACTTCTTCGATCGTTGGTGGAGTGACATCTATTGGAAGGTCAGTGTGGGCTGCTTCGATGTTCGGTGGATTCGATGGGGCTGGTCTATTCAGCAGTTCCTCAAAGTATTCTGCCCATCTTTTCCTCTGTTCCTGAATCTCAGTGATTGTCTTTCCTTCTTTGTCTTTGACTGGTCTCTCTGGTTTGCTATATCTCCCTGCCAATTTCTTCGTTGTATCATATAGTTGTTTCATATTCCCTTCTCTTGCAGCTTTTTCCGCCACCGTTGCTAGTTCTCCCATGTATTTCTGCTTGTCGGCTTTAATGCTTTTCTTCACTTCTCTGTTTGCTTCTGCGTAGTCTGCTTGTGCTTTGACTTTCTCTACTCGTGTTCGGCTGTTGTTAATTGCTAGTTTCTTGTTCTTCCTTTCTTGAAGTTTGTCCAGGGTCCCCATAGAGATCCATTCCTTATGATGGTGCTTCTTAGGACCAAGAATCTCCTGACACGTTGAAGTTAGTGCCTCTTTTATCCCTTTCCAGTTGTCCTCCAAAGTAGTTTCTTGTTCTTTCAGTAGATCCTGTAGAGCTTGGAACCTGTTGTTGAGAGTTATCTTGAATTCATGGAGTTTGTCAGTATCTCGAAGGAAGGCTGTATTAAACCTTTGTAGTGCTGTTTGTCCAGTTGTCCAGTCTTTCTTTAGCTTCAGTCTCATCTTGGCCACAACCAGGTGGTGATCTGAAGCTATGTCAGCTCCTCTCCGGGTTCTCACATCTTCCATTGATCTTCGGAATTTTTTGTTGATACAGATGTGATCAATCTGGTTCTCTGTGGTGTGGTCCGGTGAGATCCATGTAGCTGTGTGTATGCGTTTGTGTGGGAATATTGTGCCGCCTATAACCAATTTGTTGAAAGCACATAGGTTTGCAAGTCTCTCCCCATTTTCATTTCTCTCTCCTAGTCCATGTCGTCCAATTACATCTTCATATCCTGTGTTGTCCACTGCAACTTTAGCATTTAGATCTCCCATAAGGATGGTGAGGTCCTTTCGTGAGCACTTCTCCATAATTGATTGCAGCCTTTCATAGAACTGATCTTTATCATCGTCGTTGCTATCATTGGTGGGTGCATAACATTGGATAACATTCATTGTGATCCCTTGCTTCTTTGTTCTGAATGATGCTTTGATTATCCTGGGTCCATGAGATTCCCATCCCACAAGTGCATTTCTTGCTTCTTTGGACAGCATTAGAGCAACTCCCTGAGTGCGTGGCGCATTTTCCCCTTCGTGACCGGAGTACAGCAGCATCTCTCCTGTACCTAGCCTTTGTTGTCCAGTTTGTGTCCAATGGGTTTCGCTGATTCCGAGTACTGCCAAGTTGTATCTCCTCATTTCCATTGCTATTTGGCTGGTCTTTCCTGTTTCCCACATTGTCCGGACGTTCCATGTACCTATAAAGAGTGTTGCTCTGGTTGTTAGAAGGTGCATCGGTCTCGTGACTTCCGAAGAATTTCGGCTTTCATCATGAGACGTCATTATTCCTTCAACTCCCAGGGCAGAATTTAAATGGTTTGGATTATTTTTTCTGGTTAGCGTTTTTTTAGCGAGTTAGCTTTTCTACGGGATGGGGTCGCTAACCCCATGCCCAACCCTCCTCCTTTACCCGGGCTTGGGACCGGCAGTAACTCTAGAAGAGCTACAGGCGGAGTTGATATTTATTTATTTGAACACAAATATTGGTACAAAAAGGTACCAAATATATTTGGGCCACACAAATCTCATTTGATTTGTGTGAGAGCTATGGTATTGCCCAGGTGCCCAAACTGTAGGAGATGGTTTTCTTAGGGGGTCACACCCGTAGCCTTTGACCCTAAAGGTCTGATCCACAAGGCAGTGCAGCATCCTAAAGAGATGCAGTTCCATGGTAGCGGGTGATCAACAATTGATTCATACGCCATTTGTACTCCATTCAGGATACTGGAGCCCATGTGCACCATTGGTTTGGAATCAGGGTTTTCCAACTGTCCTAGGTTGACTTTCCGTGTCCACCAACCCGGTTAAATCGTCGTACATTCACTTTTTGTCCTTTCAATTTCGTAAACAACAGTAATGCCACGAGAGGTCAGTGAGTAGGACTTCCCTAGCAGAGCATTTGGGGGCAGTTTAGATTATTGCTTCTAGAAATTCGTATCCCAATGTAATACATGATGTGTATATCCTTAAAGCATTTTCTCAGTCGGAATTTCCCTAAAAGTTTGCACCTTCATGCAGTTCGGACAATAAGTAGGTTTTGTTAAAACCATAATCTAGCTGTTGATATATACTGTCTCTAAAGGTGAAGGGCCAGTAAAGTACTGCGAATTCGTTCTCCTATAGTTGATTTCAGTGTCCTGTTTCATGTTCGTCTATCATGGAACAGTGTAACAGTGATGCAGCCTTTCTGGGCTAAGGCTCTACGCATATAATCATCATTGTGTACAAAAGATTGTTCTGGTTTCACGGCAACACGACGTATTTTCGGTGTTCTATTAATACTAGTTCATCCATTCTGTAAACAAATGTTCTGTCAGGGGTGTTATGTCACAATCTCGGGTTCGGAAGTTTTGATACGCTATCCTCAGAAAATCCCAGAAACTTCTGTACCAAACACTACCTGCTAACAACTCGGTTTAGAAGACAGAAAAAAAATCAGTTTATGATACGGTTGTCAACAATTGAAGGACAGTTATGGTAACAGACCAAGAACTTATTTCTGTAAACCTTCTCAGTTTCAGTCCTCCTTTTTTCGGTGTTGTGTTTCATCGCGTTTTTAACTTTCTCCCTACTTTAGACATATTGCAATTTATTTCTTCATGAAGCTATAAAAGTTTACTTGTATTGTGACACATTTAGGTCGCCTTAAATCTGAAATAGCACCAGCACTAAAGCATTTGAGTAATGGTCTTATGGTTTCCAAGTCTCAAATAGTTGAATTGGATCTTAGTGACAACGCTTTCGGTCCAAACGGGGTTGTTGGTATAACTGATTTGCTGGCGAGCAATACTTGTCACACTCTTGAGGTTAGTGTTGTTTTAAAAAAAAGTTTTTAACTATTGATGGTTTTATAGATACTGCGGATGAACAACCAAGGTCTTGGCCATGAAGGATGTCGATATCTTGCAGAGGCCTTAGAAGAAGGAAGATGTTTGTCAAAGAATCAAGGACTACTCCTAAAAATATTTTCGGGAGGAAGAAATCGTTTAGAAAATGTTGGAGCTCAAATGCTTTCTAAGGTTTTCTGTGATATGGGATCCTTAGAAGAGGTATTTCATAGAAAGTTAAAGTTACCTTATTTTATAGCTTTCCCTTTATCAAAATGGGATTGGAATTCATGGGATAGACGGTATTTTGTCACTGGTGAAAATAATCAAATCTAATCCAAATTTACGAGTGTTAAATTTGTCGGACAATTCACTTACTCCACGTGGTGGCGAAGCAATTGCACGTGCCTTACCTTCAGTAGTCAATCTAGAGGTAAATTTATTTACAAAATATGATCTTATTGTTTTCATCTTGATAAATGTAAAACTACTCCATATAAATGTCTTAATTTCATTTGGTATGATTCTACTTAATTACTATTAATGAGATCTAGAATCATTTGTGCTAATCAAGATAAAAGTTTAAAAATTCTAGCAGAAAGTCGTAACTAATGGCAGAGTTTGACTATATTGAGACAGATAGCGATCAGATAATTTATCATTTTTTTATTTGTTGTACTTTGTTACGTTGTATTCATGATACCAGAAATAAGTATTTACAATTACTTTACGTTCTGATTCACATCTCTAACTTTCTGTAAAAGATCGAAGTTAAACATAATTCCACATGAATTGAACTTCAAATAAGTGTGAAACGTGTCTACGGTAAATTCGTTATTTATTTAAACACGTAAACATTGATAAAAGGAGGCGCTAAATATATATGCGCCACACTTCGTCACTCGATTTGTGAGAAAGTTGGAATAATGCCTAGGCACCCAAAACAAAATTGGGAGGACGAAAAGCGAATGTCCGGCGCTTTAACCGGGTTTGGTGTACACGGAAAGTCCATCTGGGGGAGTTGGAAAATCCTGATTCCAAACCAATGGTGCACATGGGCTCCAGTATCTTGAAGAAATAAATGGCGTATGAACTGATTGTTGGTCACCCACTACCATGGGACTTCGACCCAACCGCTGCTGCTACCTTGACGTGGTGGTCGGGCTTGCCTGTCGTGCTGGAACAAACGTTCCTCGAGGTCCTACCATGATAGACAGGTCGGTTGAAGAGCGGTAAGACTAAAAGCACCAAACCCAAGGTCCGAAGGCGAAGTCGTACTGCCGATTGTACAGAGGTGTGACGTCAGTAAGGTGTTTCCTTCAGACAATCAGCATAACAGCGATGCTGCCTTCCCACAAGGAGGGGTGGGGTTAGAAATGGTCGACCCTAAAAATGCACACCTCGCCTTATCCCACGGATATCCGTCTCCGGCTGTAAAGTCTTTTGAAGAACGGAGCTAACACGTCGAAAATCCCCCACAAAAAGGTCGTGCATGACCGGCCTCAAGCAGATGTCTCTTGGGCACTGCGGTCACGCTCCCAGGTCGTTAACACCATCACAAATCCAACTTCCTTTTCAGGTTCCTCAAGAAATACATTTCCACGGTGTGGCAACCGGGAAGTGATACCCGTAACAGCACACGAGACCAAGTTGGCCACATTCAAACCCTTCCTACACCTAATAACTCTCTTATCTCCACGACTAATCCTTCTCACGTCCTTTTATCACCTCGCACCACTAGGGCAAACGATTCGAGTACACGGAACGTTATTTCTGCTCTCCTGAAACCACGCTCTAAACTACATATAGGAACGTTTAATGTCCGAACATTGTGCCAAATAGGACAACAGGCTTCCTTAGCTAGGACTTTAGAATCTCGCACCGTCAATGTGTGCTGCGTCTCCGAAACGCGCATAAAAATCCAAGTAGAGTCATTCATTTGACCTCACCATGTCATAATAAAGAACCAACTCGATTCACGCTTCGTGTATCTGGAAGTCGTGATGCTGCTCTCTGTGGCCTCGCTGGCGTAGGTATAGCATTAAGTCCTAAGGCAGAGCTAGCTCTTTTAGACTGGATCCCAGTAGATAGTCGTTTGTGCGCTATCCGACTAAACGGAACAGTAAGGACTCGGAAAGATAGGGACACTCGTCGTTGCCTCTTCATCGTCTCTGCCTACTCTCCCACTGGCTGCAGCTCAGATGATATAAAAGATGATTTCTACAGAAAACTTTCCGACCTTCTCCAAAATGCTAAGTGCTCTGATGTAGTAATGGTGGCTGGTGTCTTTAGTGCTCACGTAGGTAAACTAAACGAAAGGGAAAGACACCTGGGTGGATCTTATGGTATCGTGGTTCAAAGAACAGATAATGGCCACCGTCTGTTGCAGCTATGCTCAAATAACCGCCTATTTCTTGCAAATACTAACTTTAAGCATAAGGAAAAACATCTTTTGACATGGCGACTCCCCGAATTCGTCCCAACGTCGTACCCAAATAGATCACATCGCTATCAGCCACCGATAGAAGAGCTCGATAAATGACTGTCGCTCATTCTGGAGCACATGTTTAGATTCAGATCATGCTCTAGTGCGAGCATGTATCTGTCTGCGTCTTACTGGACGTAGGAAAGACTGCGAGGAAACCTCTTAGGGTTCTACCTAATGATAGGCAAGCTAAGAATATATTTCAGGAACAACTGGAAAAACAGGTAGGCAGCCATGTGGGTTTTAAAAAGTACTTTTTATTTTCGTAAATTGTAACAGCACTCCGATCAGGTGGGAGTAGTACTCCAATCGGTGCACTAAAGCGCTTATTTACTGTATAGCATGCGAATAAGTTACTCGTCACACAGTTACTAGGTCTTTGGTGTCATCCTTTAATTGCAAAAGTTTTTCGCAACTTTGTATGATTATACTTGTTTCCAGACACAATCAGCCAAAATATTCAAATTCAGATGTAAACTTCCTTGGTGATTAGCTTATTCGTTATAGCTTCTTCAGATTTTGGTCCTATAGTCTCTATATTGAGAGAGTGGTGTATTGTTGGCTTGTATTCGGTTCTTATTCCTCTTCTTTTTCTAATTCTGTATTGAATACTGTTGTGGAAGTAGTCTGTCGGCTAAACCAACTGACTGTCAAGTTGGTAAAATATCTTTAGACAACTTAAGCATAACTGATATTCGTAAGTTGGTTCTATATCTTAGTAACTAAAACTACGTCACTATGATGCTTTTCTAACTCTTGTTTTTATAGGAACTTTATTTGAGTGATTGTATACTCCGATCAACTGGTGTAAAGGCACTTGCTTCCGCTTTTGAAGATCCCGACACCACTCCTAATTTAAGAGTTTTAAATCTAACCGGAAACGAAATCAAACTGTCTGCTGGAATTAATTTAATTCTATCGCTGGGCAATAAATCCCATTTAGAATTACTAGACTTGAATGCTAATGAATTCGGTCGCTCTGGTGTTCGATCAATAATTCAAACACTTGATTCAGTCGGACTTTTGCACACATTACCCAATCCAAACGACAAACATTTATCAAGTATATCAGTTGTTGAGGAATCCTATTTATGGGCATTTGACGAAGATCAAGGTTCAGATCAAGAAGGCGAAGATGATGAAACCAACGAAGGAGAGGAGGAGGATGTTGATAATAATGATGCAGAAGAATATGATGATTCTAGAAGTCGATATGGAGATGATGATGATGATGATGATGATGAACGAGAAAATCAAACTGATACAACTTCAGACCAAAAGGAGAGTAAGTTCACATTCCTTTTTTCAAAGGAAATGTTCCGTTATTTTATTCATATCACAAATAGTAGTCCGATATTATTCTGGTGTAGATGCTATTCTTTTTTTATTGTTTATGTCTGAAATAAGGTCAATACCAATTTAAACTGTCTAATGGTGAATGATCCTACGGTCAGGTCTCATGCTTCCCTGTCTGATTACTTCTGAGTTTCATCGGTCTTACACATACTATAAATAAATGACTCTAGCCAGTCCAGTCAGTCATAAGGAACCTAAAACCTAGCAAAAGTTCTGTCCATTAGCTCAAATTGCTATACCAATAAGATGATGAATAGTAAAGAATTCGGAATATTATTAGTATGAATGATAGTAAGACATACTAATCATAGGGAATATGATCAAATTATTGGCAAAGTATTAAGGTAATAATAAGTACAAAGTGATGTTGAAATTGAATTTTGATGGAAAATAGGGAATAAATCCATCTGCACTACTGTAGCAAGTCTTAAGTCATGTCACCGATCGTCTCCAATCCCCACACGTAGTTTATGTTCAAACTTGTGATTGACATGTCTGTTAATTAGGCTTTATATAATAGTAAACATTGGGAAATTGGTTCCATTGCATATAAAAATTAGTTATAACTACCGTAATTCAGTCTTAATTCACCTAACTAACGAAACTGAATGCATGTGTTTACCAGTTTAGATGTTTATATTTATTTTGCAAGTACTGGATAGGTAAAAGAAGCATATAAAATGGGGGTAGATAAAAGATAAAAATGCAATGTATAGAGAACTTGATTCATTTAATATCGTCCCAGTGAACACGTTTGATATTATAGGCCGTTTCACATTACAAACTGTCTTTAGTTGGACAACCACTCAAAATCAAGAAGCACTGGATAACTGTTTCATCCTAGTATAGAACTCCATAGCAATGCACCTCACTAGCTTCACCAGAGATCAAACTCTACTAGCGTAAAGCAAATTTACAAATGGCAATGGATGGTGGTCGCCCACTTTCACGTATTGAGTTGAATTAGAAATTCACTTCACCATACCAACTCAATGGTCTAAAGTTTAAGTACACTCTACCAAACCTAAAGGTCCTGTGTTTGATCCTTAGTGGAGTCGTGGATGTTTATTAATTAGGAGCCCCATATTAGGATCTAAAAGCTATCCAGTGCTTCATGAGTTCCAACGGTTGTTTAACCAAAGCTAATTTGTGATGTGAAACATTGCAAACGTTTAAGACGTATAATTAAGTTTGAAAGATTCGAAAAATATTCAAGTACTAAAAAGGGCATTGTATTATGATAGTTATTCATTATTCTGTGCATCATCCATCGTCAAAATCAAAAATCTAATGATTCATGGTTGCAACTCTTTCGAAATCTATATTTTTTGTTTGTTTTCAACATGCGTTAGATGATCCCACGTTGACTATGACTGATTAACTAACATTTATTCTGTTTTATATTCTGGATTAGTTTTTTTCTATGAACTTTTCTTCCACAGTTGATACTGCTTTCTCTTACCTATCTTGTTAATCATCCCTCTGTGTGTGCTAATTTTATGAAGTATAACAACTTATACCAATATATTTATCTGATATTATATTACCTGTGGTTGGCTCTAACTAAGCTTTTCGTATTTTATTAACTCTTACGTGTTATAGATTTGTGTACTTGACTTTGAGCCAAACTCTAACTGTGAAGGGTGTCGATATACTACCCGGGCCACCAAATTGGCATTGGTAGATCAGGGTTTAACTCAGTAGCTTGGTGACTAAAAGTCGAACACTAGCACCTGAGCCATCACTCGACTATACGCTGAGTGTATACACATGCATATTATTGTAAATCCAACTTTAATTTCCTTTTGTTTCTCATAGGTTCAGGTATTAATTTCAGTTTTCGTGAGGCATTTTCAAAATTTGGAACAATTGGTGGTGGTGGTTGTTTAACCCCGAAAAATGAAAATATTCAAATAAATAAACCTGGACCTTTTGGTACACAATCACTTGGCTTGTTTTCTGGAATTTCACCTCAAAACACTGATACAACAGATGCCGGTGTGATTCGTTCAAAACTATGGCCTTCTTCAGGTTTATTCAATTTTGGTGATAGTGCAAACACAAAAAGAAATTTGTTTTCTCCACCAATTCTATCAAATAAGGCTGTTGGTCAAGTTGTTGATGAAAAGAAATTAGATGAGGATAAATTTAGACAACTTTTAAATGATGCGCTTTCTAATCCAAAACAAGAATCAAGTAGTAATCGTTTGATTGGTGAGTTAGTTATTTGATTAATTAGTATTTAGAAGAGTCCAAAACTCATCCAACACTCCTGCATTTTCAGTAGGTTTCTTAGATGATTCAAATTCGTAACGAAAAAATGTTGATAATTCAGGAGTCATATCAGTAAATGTTTCAATAGGAATAACTAAAACAAATCACGACTCCTTGTTTGTAGTGTGTTAAATATATGAAATCAACGTTTGAAACTGAGCGGCAATAATGCTAAACTCATCTCATTAATACGTACATTCACTTTTTTTTCTTTTCAAAGTACAAGACCGTTGTCTTCAGATAAAGAAGAGCGATTTAGTGTTCACTACAGTTGTGTATCAATTTAAGATGCCTTACCTTATGTATTAGTACACCGAGGTAAATGTACTCAAATCTTCTTTCAATGATCTTCCCAGTCGTTACCTGGTGGAGACACTGTATGCGCCATGTATTCCGTTTTTAGTAAGTTTTTCGGATATATCACTTACAGTACAGTACAGGTACGGTATAGCAACTTATTGTGCCATGCAAAATTGCAGTGTCTTTGTAAAGTATGAAAATCATGCATTAAGTAAATCGTTTGCATACTTTTTCTTGAGTTATCCCTTGCATACTCCATCATCCTTTTAATTCTATTTTCCATCTTGTTCACTTCAATTCAATCTTATGCTGGTAAGCATTCTAATTTCTGTTACATACATATATCCGCATAAGAAGCACACAACACAATATAGCGAAGGATCAAGTATGATATTCTCTATCCATTTATACAATGCTTTAGTTACGCATTTTAATATTTTGTGTTCATTTTCTGGTGTACTGTTTACTCTGATCTTACATCTTATTTTCTGATCAGATTCCTGTGATAGACAATGGTTAGTACGACAATATAAAACAGGACTTCTATTAATACCATATAGTTGTAAATTTAAGTCTCGTTTATTAGTGTTTAATTGGATTCATGTGAATAGGCTTTTGGATAAAGAAATTCGTCTTAAATCCGTATACACTTTAAGACCCGACCACTGCTGCTGCTACCTCTAGAAGAACCCTTCCTGGGCGTGGGCAACCGGGAAGTGATAATTGCCCTCATACCTCTAACAGCACTCAAGACCACTGTATTCATAATCAATCTCCTCCTTCACTTCCTACTATTCCTTCTACTTCAACTTTCAACACTAAGCTTCCTTTTTCGGTTTCCTCCTCAAGTGTCACCATGGCCAACGATACACTTTAAGACAGCCTAAATACAGGTTAATGAAAAGTGACTAGGTCCGTTCATATCTGTTGTATTGTTACATTTAAAGTGAAAGTGTTCTAAAAGTTCACAAATTTACATTTGTTCATCCTAAATTAGTCAGTTAGTTATAAGCATTGTACAACTTATCATATTTATATAATTGTTCGACTTGTGACACCAAATCAATACCTCGAGATTAAATAATCATGAGATATACCAGAGTAGTAGAAGTGGTAATAGAAAAAAAACTGAATACATCTATGCCATTGCGAACCATTCTGAACCATATCGTGCAATGTAAGATAATCACGCGGACCCCAACCAAGTAGTCTGTATCTACCTATATGGCTTTGTCCAATTGTCAATGACTTAATGAATTGGATCACAGTCACCCCTAGCTTCTCTACAGCCTATTTCTACACCATTATACATCTCAAAATAAGTTTATGTCAACTTTTAATTCTCCATTGACTTTTATATTATACATATTCATTGTTTTCATTTTTTTTTTTTAAAAAAAATTTTTTTCTAGACTTTCTTGGATCTACTGAATACTTTAAACAACCACCAATACATCCTGTTATAATGTTATGCACACAAACAGCTTCACCAGAGAATATAGTTCGTTTAAGTTTAATATTATCACGTAGTAATATATGTCAAACAAATTCTGTATCTGGTACAATTATGCAATTAGCTATTGGTTTATTAGCTTCAATATTTACAGATATTTATAAAAAGAATACAGATAATTATCGTATTAGTTGTGCAATCAATTGTCTACTTGTTTATTTAGGTGCTATTAAACCAGAAAAAGATAGTGAAGAATGGATAGATTGTTCATCGACTAATTGTACTACTAATAGTAATAATAGTAGTAATATAAAATTGAATAGACAATATTATTTAAGATTAACTAAAACATTAATCGATTATTTTGGACCACAATTAATACCAAATGTATGTAATTGTTTAACTGTTCTATTATCAGAACAACGTAAAAAAGAAATACATTCAAATTCATCATTAATTCATGATACACATTTACGAGATGATATTATTGATTCATTAGAGAAACAAATGAATTCAATAAATTTGAAGCGTTAAAAAATATAGATGACAAAGAGTCGACTAAAGAAGAAAGAGTTACTTCTTTATTCTTTGCATTTCTAACTAGTCTTTTTTATTATTATTATTATATATATATATATATTAGATTGTCTATTGAAATTGGATTCAGTCGAAAGAGTTTTATATAAACAAAGTAGATAGGGGGTGATATTTATTTTTGGATAGTGTATATGTATATGTGTGTGTGTGTGTGTATGGTTACTATCAATTGAGAAATGATTACAGGATAAAACATTGTAAAAAAAAGAAAAGAAAAAAAAAAGTGTAATTCTGTACATAAAAATTCAATAATAATCCATCATTGATTGTTTATGTTTACAATGATTATTTTCCTATCAATCAATAAATCGTCCCTCTCCCCACCCACCTCCCACAATCAATTGTCATTATTTATGTAACGAATTTATGTAGCTTGAATAAATAATTGTGATTGTGTTATTTATTTATTTATTTTCCCCCCCATATATATGCGTGTTAATATTTACTTCAGTCAGTCAGTCACAACGTAGAACTTCATACGTACGTACATCAGTTCGAGTTGCCATACTACATTAGCACAGAGATGCAGTTTTCGATTCAAATCCTATAGTGATAGAAGTAGTAAGAGTATAAGCAGTAATGTGAAAGATTAGAGTTTGAATATGCTATTGAGGGAGTATAATACAGTGAAATAAATTTGGAAAGAGAAAAAATATAGGAATATGAGGAATTCAGAGGATTTACTTACTTAATTAACAAGCTTAAAAAAGTTATTTTGTTTATATAACAATCGGATAATATTCATTGGCAAAACTATAATTTATGGACGAGCCAATCAGAAGCGTTTGAGAGATTTCAAGATCACGGCGCCAATTTCATTACCTGATGCTCATGTACAATCGGTTCACAGAGGATTTTAGAGTAAACTTGACAATTAAGCGGCTACAATAAATAAGACTACTAAGAAGTTCCAGTGTTTGTAATTGCGGTAGACCTTGTTGACCTTTGATGTAATATATGTTGAAGGAAGACATTTGCTAGAATAGGAACCTTTATCGCTCGATCCAGATTGAGACTAATGCATATTATGATGATTGCCGCAAACTGTATAATAAAAGCACCAGTAATATTGGTTACAATAATCGCAGATGTTACTTAAGCTTTGGCTGTTCAGTGGTATGAGTATTGTTGGAACATTTCCATGATAAAAATGACAAACTTACACAACCGGAGTGCACACAATCAATAATGAAGCTTTGTGGTCGAGGCTGAGAGGGTTTTTGTGACCTTATCATGGTTCCAGAGACCTGTAGTATGGTCTACTTATATCCATATAAGTAGTATATGGTGTTGGTCAGACATAGAATGTATTTTGGCAGAAGACCGATGAACAAAGAACTGAAATGAAGCGCTATCGTTTGGAAAATGCATCAGCAATGGAATTAGAGAAGAAACAGTGGAGATTGAAACAATTGGTTGTTAATTTGCAAATTGACTGTTCATTGTTTAGTTATCAGGATTTACTGAGATAGTCTGTAATTTTTGCTTATATACGATTGTCCCCAACCAGTGTTTTATTCTTTACATTTGGTGTCGCTGCCAACCAGTAGGGGGAAGGGTGCTGTTCTGCGGACGCCGCTGCGGGTCTGGAGTTGAGGTGCGGAGAGGTGGCGTCGAGTGGAGTGTTCTGGCGGTGCGGCGTTGGCTGTAGCGGGTGCTGTCGACGGAGAGGAGCAGTGGGACGTGCGGCTGATGGGCGGACATCGGATGTAGATGGCTCAGCAGGCCGGTGGAGTCAGTCAGTCACAACGTAGAACTTCGTACGTACGTATATCAGTTCGAGTTGCCATACCACATTAGCACACAGATGCAGTTGTCGATTCAAATCCCATAGTGGAAGAAGTAGTAAGAGTATATTTAGAAATCCAAAAGATTAGGGTTTGAAGAAATTATTGAAGGAGTATAGTACAGTGAAATATATTTGGAAAGAGAAAAACATAAAGACATGAGAAATTCAGAAGATTAGAATTTGGTAGAACACAAAGAGTGGATGCATCTTCGCCATTGCAAACGATTTTGAACCATGTCATTCAAGGTCTCTAACCATCGGTTGCTGTCATCTCGCGAATCCCAACCAGGTAGTCTACACCTACCAACATGGCTCAGTCCACTTGTCAGTGACTTCATGGATTTGTGCCACGTTTTGGTCTGGCCACCCCTAGCTTTCTTCCAACCTACTCCTACACCATGAAACATTGCACGTCGGGGCAGTCGGTGGTCGGGCATACGTAACACATGTCCCAGCCATCTCAACTGATGAAGTTTCACTACTTCATCAATCGATTTGCCATCCCTACCTAGTACTCGTTTCCTAACAACTGCATTACTTACCCGGTGGTCCCAGGATATACGAGCAATGCTTCGAAGACACCTATGATCGAACACTAGTAGCCTACGAATATCCTCTACTCTTACCGGCCATGTTTCACTTCCATAAAGTAGGACGGAACGAACTGCTGCACAGTAAACCCGTCCTTTGGTTGCTAGACGGATATCTCGCCTACGCCACAAATGATGCAAGTTGGCGAAAGCTAGACGAGCCTTCTGTATCCGTGCTGAGATTTCGTCAAACACCAGACCACAAGGGCTGATGAGACTCCCAAGATAAGTGAAGTGGTCTACACGCTCAACTACTTCACTCCCTATCATTAGTTCAGGTGTCGCTGCAACCCAATCCTGAAGTAACATTTTGCACTTCGAGGGAGAGAATCGCATCCCGAACATGCCTGCATTGTTGCTTATGGTGGTCAGAAGACTCTGCATTTTGTCAGCGTCTTCACCGAGTAAAACTATGTCGTCGGCGTATTCTAAGTCAACAAGTGAGCCTCCTGGTAAGAGTTCAACTCCTGGAGGCTTAGCTGATGAAAGTGCTATCTCTAAAAGTATGTCAATGACAAAGTTAAACAAGAATGGGGAGAGTGGACAGCCCTGACGAACTCCACTTGTGGTAATCAGTTCTGATGACAGTGGAGTACGGGTGTTGAACGTCCCAGGTGCCGGGTGTATGCGGATGTTTGTGCCCCGGCAGGTCGACGGAGCTATGGAGGTCAGCGCGCCGCAGACTCGACATTCTGACGGAGAGTTTGGCACAGACTGCAGTGATAGAATATAGTGGCGTGGAGAGCAGAACCACCGCATGAACGAATGCTTTAAAGGGGGGAAGAGTGTATAGTGATCTACTTATATCCATATAAGTAGTATATGGTGTTAGTCTGACATAGAATGTATTTTGGCAGAAGACCGATGAGAAAGGAACTTAAACGAAGCGCAATCGGTAGGAAAATGCACGAACAATGGAATTAGAGAAGAAACAGTGAAGATCGAGACTATTGATTGTTAATTTGCAAATTGACTGTCCATTGTATCGTTTTCAGAATTCACTGAGATAGTCTGTAGTTTTTGCTTAAATACATTTGATTGTCCCCAACCAGTGTTCTGTTCACTAGATACCAACTATTATTGAGCCATATGGATGAGTTCCTCTACCTTATGCATTACGATTTCGGAATCTTTAGACCTTTTTCTAACCTTGACAAGGTTTTGGACCATATAAAAGAAGTGTATCCACTTTAATTATTTGGTTTTGTATAACATATTTTTACTCTATGCTGACTGTTTACTGAATGGCTAATATTCCTCAAGGTCACTTAAGATTCGTTCAAAGGTCGTCTATAAATTATGGTCTCGCCTATTCATTAGCTCTGAAGGAGTATGAATAAAGCGTGAATACATTAATCTGTAGTTGATATATAAAATTCACTAGACGATAAAGAATAAAACATTTAGAAAATAATGACCAGGTTAGTGTTTTGATAAGATGCAAAAATTCAAATTATGAATGGTCAGTCAGTCAGTTACAATGTAGAACTTCGTACGTACGTACATCAGTTCGAGTTGCCATACCACATTAACACGCATGTAGTTGCTGATTGAAATCCCATAGTGGTAGAAGTAGTAAGAGTATAAGCATTAATGTGAAAGATTAGGTTTTGAAGGATTATAATACAGTGAAATAAATTTGGAAAGAAAGGAACACAAACTAATATTAACTGAAGAATTAATAGAAACCAAGGAGAGCTGTTATGTCATAATTTGAAACTTCTCAAAATCATCCATCCATTCACATCATATGTAATTAATTGAAATGTTTTAAGTATGCAAGCTTTAAACCACCATATTGAAATTCAATTACCACATATGTGTTGACTCACTTTATAGAGCAGTTATTACCATAAAAGATAACCAGTTCTGAACACTATCCAGCTTTGCTCCTAAAAGGTGAATGTAAAAAGATAACCAGTTCGATACAAAAGCATTTGATCAATTGTGGACACATTGCTCCAAAAGACACGTTTTTTAAAATAATCTATAGAGTTAAAGGAACCGAATCAAAGGGAGGTCGAATCAATATTTTATGCACTGCTGAGGCATTGGCAATCCATAGATTCAAGCCTGAACTTTGCGTGCACAAACGATTTGTCCAACCTCTTACCCTTCCTTTGCCCTAATTCCCTCATTGGGTACTTTTTTTGGTTGTTTTTTTGTTTGTTTTTTTTCTTTGTACTTTTATTTGATTATTATCGGTTTTTTTGTTTTAAAATTACTATTTTACATTTTAAACTCTAATCAGTTATTATTATTATTACCATTACCTTTATATTATTGAAAATCTATCAAGGGAACTGTCATTGAATTGAGCTTGTCTTTTTCTCAATCAACTTTGGTTTAAAATAAATTTATTTATTACGGGAATTTCTTCAACAATAAAATATTCAACTTGAAGAAAATAAATAAAATCATATCAATTATTTTCTTACCTCTACCACTATGAGATTTGAATCGACAACTGCATCTCTGCTAAGGTGGTATGGCAACTCGGACTGGTGTACGTACGTACGTACGAAGTTTTATGTTATAACTGACTGACTGATTGTTTTCTTACTTTTTGAAATATTATCGCTTGAGAATTATACTTTATAGATAAGTATATTTTAATTGTTGAAAGCGTGAGTCAATTGAAGCTAGACCACCATGGAAAACTTGGAAGCACTAGACAGCCGTTTCATTCTATTATGAGACTCCCCATCAGCACGCATCCTGGGTTCGAATTTCGCGAGTGTGGGATCGTGGATGCGCGCTGCTGAGTAGTCCCATAATAGGACGAAACGGCCGTCCAGTGCTTCAATTGACTCATGCTTTCAACTATGAAAATACTAAATCTCCACACAACTCCTTCTGATAATTAAAACAAGTATATTCAAGATTAATTAATTAGTATTTTGTAGTCAACTTCACTGAAAATAGTCAATGTTTAATTGTGGTTTTTATTCTCAAAATTATCTATAGTCTAGAATTGTGGAATTAAATCCACCTATTTAGCTTCACTTGTATTGAAAGTTATATTTACGTATGATCATCGTGCTACTTATAAGTAG